TATCTCTAATTATAACATATAAAAGCTTGAGAACAACTTGTTCTGAAATCTTTCACTTATTACCAACAAAGCATAATCTCATTTGACTGCCTGACACGCTTGGTTTTCCATTCACTTTAGAGCAGATGATGGATTAGCTATTAACTTTCTCTTAATTACTTTATACAAGTGCAGCTTTCTCTTTTTCAGCTATGGAAAATACTATGCATAACTGACATTACTCCAAAAAAATGTCAGCACAATTCAAGAGCACACTTCCAGCAACTAGATAAAACACAATCCCTAAAGTCTTTCATCATTTATCCCATTGAGCAGGGATTCTTACTGAGGTGTAGGCAATGTGAGGGTATCAGAACTTTAAATCACAGCAGTCTCCCCTTATTCGAGGGGCATATTTTCCAACACCCCCAGTGGATGCCTTAAATCACAGATAGTACCAAGCCCTTACATATACTATGTTTTTTCCTACACATACAAACTTAGGATAAAGTTTAATTCATAAATTAGGCACATTAAGAGATTAACAATAACGAATGATAAAATAGAACAATTATAACAATACACTGTAATAAAAGTTCTGTGAATGTGCTCTCTTTCTCTTTCAAAATACTGTATTATACTGTAATTATCCTTCTTCTTGTGATGATGTGAGATGACACAATGCCTGGTGGTGAGATTAAGGGCCAAGAATGACATAAGCATTGTGATGGAGCATTAGGCTACTATAAGGGTTACTTGAACAGAAGCACTACCACAAGCTGATCTGATAACCAAGATGGTGACTGACTAATGGGCCGGGAGCATACACAGTGTGGAGATGCTGGAAAAGGGTGATTCGTGTCCCAGGAGTAGTGGGATATTGAGAGAGTCCATCACGATACTCAAATAGTGTACAATATAAAACCTATGAATTGTTTATCTCTGGGCTTTCCCATTGATATTTTTGGAACAGTGGTTCATTGCTGGTAACTGAAACTGCAGAAAGCAAAACTGCAGATTAAAAAAAGACTGAGTTCCAACCAACATGGTGGCATAGGTCAACACAGCTTGCTTCCTCACACAACCACATCAAAATTACAGCTAAAATATAGAACAACTATCACTCAGAACTAGCAGAAATTGAGTTGAATGGAAGTCTGACAACTACAGAATTATACAAACCACATCCATCCAGACTGGTAGGAGATGTGAAGATGTGGAATGGGCTGGTCCCATATCCATGTGTGGTGGATACAAATTTGGGAGGGATATCTTGGGAGTGAGGAGTCCCAGACCCACACCAGGGCCCTCAGCCCAGGGTTCCACTTCCAGGAAGATAAGTTCCCATAACTTCTGGCTGCAAAGACCAGTGGGGATTGAGTCAGTGGAAGAAACCTCTACAGTCCCAAGCAATTCCTCTTAAAGGACCCACACACGGACTTACTCAGACTCACTGCCTTTGAGCTCCAGCACCTGGGTAGCAGCTTGAAAGGCCCCAGTGCAATTCAGGGAGAAATTGAAGTGTCTGGCATCAAGGAGAGGGCTGGGGGATGAATTTCTCCCAGACAGAAAATCAGGCAGAGGCCATTGTCCTCTTTCTGAACTCTCTGCCCACAGAGGCACAGAGCCACAGAGTTGGCAGGTTGGGGCCATATCTGAGACTCCATCAACCTGGTTAACACTGCTCTGCCATGGAGATCCCAGGAGACTCTGTCCCACCCAACTGACAGGCCCACCCAAGCTGCTTTTCCATATGAATGGCTGGTCTTGGCTCAAACTTCACCATTTCCTAAATCCTCTCAAACAAGCTACAGCCAGACTCAGTGAGCCCCCTCTTATTAAGTGGCTCCAGGCCTGGCACTAGCAGCAATGAACCTAGATTCACAGGTTGGCTTCACCTGGGAATATCAAGTCCAGCACAAGTAGCAGCCATTTCAGATTGCTTTATAGCTCAGGCAGGGTGGCCCCAGGCAAAACACAAATAGGGGTTGACCTTGGCCTGCACCACCTCCGATACCCTAGAGCCTGTGCATCCAGTGGACAGCTACAGATCATCTCGGAGCACAACCACTCTGTCCTCAACAGCTGATCCTCCACAGAGGGTGGAGGTTGGTGGTCAGTGGCCACAGCCAATCCTTGCAGCTGACTAGCCTGGGTAAATTCCTCCCATTGACCTTCCAACAGCAATCAAGGCTCAACTACAAGAGGAGGGTGTACTCAGTCCACATGAATGGCTCACCTCAAGTACCCAGTTAGGTGATAGGGGAGGCTGTGCCACTGAACCCTACAGGACACCTATTATATTAGGTCATGCTACCAAGACAGAGAGTCATAGCAGCTCTACCTTATACATAGAAACAAACACAGGGAGCCTGCCAAAATGAGGAGACAAAGAAACACGGGTCAAATGAAAGAACAAATCAAAACTCCAGAAAAAGAACTAAACAAAATAGGATAAGCAATCTTCCAGATGCAGAGTTCAAAACACTGGTTATAGGAATGCTCAAGGAACTTAGTGAGGACCTCAGCAGCATAAAAAGATCTAGTCAGAAATGAAGGATAGACTAACTGAAATAAAGAACAAGTTACAGGGAAAGAACAGTAGAGTGGATGAAGCCAAGAATCAAATCGATGATTTGGAACATAAGGAAGCAAAAAACAATCAGAAAAACAAGAAGAAAAAAGAATCCAAAGAAACGAGGATAGTGTAAGCAGCTTCTGGAACAACTTCAAGCATTCCAACATTTGCATCGTAGGGGTACTGGAAGGAGAAGAGAAAGAGCAAGAAATTGGAAATGTATTTGAAAAAAATCGTTAGAGAAAATTTCCCTAATTTGGTGAAAGAAATAGACATGCAAATCCAGGAAGCACAGAGAGTCCCAAACAAGATGGATGCAAAGAGGTCCACTCCAAGACACATCATACTTAAAATGCCAAAGTTTGAAGAGAAAGAGAGAATCTTAAAAGCAGCAAGAGAAAAGCAGTTAGTCACCCACAGGGGAGTTCCCATAAGACTATCAGTTGATGTCTCAAAAGATACTTTGCAGGCTAGACGGGATTGGCAAGAAACAGTCAAAGCCAGGAAGAGTAGGGACCTACAGTGAAGATTGCTCTACCCAGCAAAGCTATCGTTTAGAATTGAAGGGCATATAAAGAGCTTCCCCAGACAAGAAAAATACTAAAGGACTTCATTATCAGCAAACCATTACTATATGAAATGTTAAAGGGACTTATTTAAGAAAAAGAAGATCAAAACTATGGACAATAAAATGGCAATAAATATGTATCTATCAACAATTGAATCTAAAAAGCATATTAAGCAAACAAGAACAGAGACAGAACCATGGATATGGTGAACATTTTGATAGTTGCCAGATGAGAGGGTGTGGGGGAATGGGTGAAGAGTTGAGGGGATTAAGAAGTACAAATGAGTAGTTACAGAATAGCCATGGGGATGTAAAGTACAGTATAGGAACTGGAGTAGCCAAAGAACCTATGAATGACTTATGGACAAGAATAATGGTGTGGGGATTGCCTAAAGGGGTGGGGGGTGCTGGGTGGAGGGGGACAAAGGGGTAATAACTGGGACAGCTGTAACAGCATAATCAATAAAATATAATTAAAAAGAAGAAACAAGGACTGTTGTCACAGGTTCTCTGATGTTTCTCTAGTAGGGTATGCCCCCCATTCTGCAGACACTCTCCGGCCACCTCCTTAACACATTACACACATACAGGTTGAGAATTTTAATATGTGTAGATGTTTCTCATGAAAGAGTGCTGTCCAGGTCAGTGGTGTAAGGACAAAAAGTTCAGGACAATGTCATAAAACATTTGACTAACCCAGGAGGGAACAGCCTTTTTTACTTAGAAGGCTAGCAATAGTTTATTTCTTGCTCACAAATTTAAATATTACCTTTGAATCTCAGGCCAAGTTTCAATTTATTTACCACCCCCACCCCCAGGAATTCATCAGAATGGAAACAAAACAAAAAGACTCTATTCTTTGTGTTTGAAATGCAGCTTTCTCCTTCAATGGGTGAATAGAAAAACTTGTAAATCCATGTAGTGCAATACTTGCCAGCTTAAAAAAAAATAAGCTATTAAGCCACAAAAACACATGGAAGAACAAGGCAGAACTATGGAGACAATAAAAAGATAAGTGGTTGCTAAGGAAAGATAACTAAGTGGAACACAAAGGATTTTTAGGGCATTAGAACTATTCTGTAAGATTCTATAATGGCAGATACATGCCATTATATTTTTGTCAACACAAAATGAGCCCTAATGTAAACTATAGACTTTGGTTAATATTAATATGTCAATAGCAGCTTATTAATTGTAAGAAATGTGTCAAATCTAAGATCCATTGAAAAAAGGTTAAATCTGTTAGAGACAGCTATGAAAAGTGAAAGAAATTTTATCTGACTTTTAATCCATAGGTAGGATTTGGGAGACAGGTGAGTGAAGGGAGGGCATGCCCAGAGGGGAAACAAGAGCAAAAGGGTAGAGTGGAATAGTGAGGAAGGGAGGCAGGTATGGAGAAAGGAAATGACTGCTGGGCTCAAGAGAAATAAGTGTTAATAGACAGAGTGAGACTAGATTATCACAGTCCTTGAAAGGCAAGCAGGTGGAGTTTACATCTGGTTTACTGGGCAGTAGGAAGACTTAGAAGGTGTTTGCATAGAGGAGTAATACAAGATATAGTTGATGCTCATTATTCATGAATTTTGTGTTTGCAAATTTTCCTACTCACTAAAATGTATTAGAAACTCCAAAATCAATATTCACGGTCATTTGGGGACATGTACAAAAAAAAATTAAAAATATTTTTTAAACCCAAGATGCTAATAATAGGGGAAACTATGAGGAGGTGGGGGCAGGGGATATATAAGAATTCTCAGAACTTTCTACCCAATTTTTCTATAAACCTAAAACTGCTTTCTAAAGAAATCTATTAATTAAATAAAGCAATTAAAAAGCTAACAATATAAAATATATACATAAGAAAAAAGAACTTACTTCTGGTTCACAATCAGCCAGTCACGAGTATAGGCCTGAACACAGTCCCTGACATGAGGGTCCAGTTCAACTCTAATGAGATGGGAAATGAAATAAAGATATGTTATTACTGTGTAAAACCAACAAAGCAATCCCTTATCATAACCAAGGAGAGAGCAACATGATTTCAAATCCACATCAAACAAGAATGCTAGGGGTATTATTACTCATTCATTTCAAGTGAATTCCTGACGCAATAACATTTTTACTTTGGTGGGAAAAATGTTGGCATTTTATGCTTTGTGGGTTTTCGTTATTACAGAGAATTGTGTTCAATCATACTTATCCCTAAAGGCATTCTGACATAAGACAGGTAGAATGAGATGTAATCACATACAAAACAAGAAAAATAAGTATAAATACCAATTTTTCAGGGGGTAATTTGGGCAATTTTTTTTTTTTTTGCTCATGTGTAACGTTGTTAGGACATGCATGCTTTCTTTTTTGAAAGCCATGAAGAACAATGGTCTTATGCTTTAAGGAGCTGACGGGCACTGGCTTTGGTTGATTATTAACTGAGGTGGTTCATGTCATATTCATGCAGGAGAGTATCATGAGAGATACTCTTCAAGTGCTTCAAAGTCTTGAAATCAGAAATAACTACCGTATTTCACTGTGTATAATGTGCTCCCAGGTTTTTGTGTGCATTATACATGGTATTATTATACCCATGTGATAATGTGCATCATTATTTTTCCCTCAAAAATTTGGGCAGAACATGCACATTATACATGGCAAAATACAGTAATTTCCCACAGTAGCAAAGTTTACTTGCTGTTTTTCCCAATGCTTTGGTATTAGAGATAAATGGGTCTAAATACTGCATGTTTTAACTTTCTTATTTATAAAAAGGGGACAAAAACAATACTTACAGCGTGGGCTTGCTGTTAGCATAGAAGAAATATTGTAAAAGTTAGCCAGCTGGTTCCTGGGCCCTGAAAACCTAAATCCACGCCCCATCCCTTATTAGCTGTGTGACCTTGGGCCAGTCACTCAACCTTTCTGTGCCTCAGTTTCTTCACCTTAAATTGGTGATATTAATAGAGGAGCATGTCCTTTAGAGAGATGTGATGAAGTTTAAATTGGTTAGCTTGTGAGGTGAATGTGATAACCACTACACCACAGAAACTGCCTATTCACAAGCTAAATAAGTTAGTTTGTGAAGTGCTTAGAAGAGTGACCTACATACGATAGATCATACTTAATGACCATTTATTATGCATCTGGCACTGATGTAATCATTTTAAATGCAGTAATTCAGTTAATTCTCAATCCGCTCCATAGGGCAGGTGCTATCATTATTCTCATTTTGCAGAGGAATGAGAACCCAGGCAGCTCACCTTTGGAGTGCAGGCTTGTAACTACCACACTATCACTGCTCCACATAAAGTTCTGGGCTAGGCACAGGGGGTTCAACAGGATCAGCTCTTGCTTACTCTGATGATGACCACGGTACCCTCCTGGGCTTTAATCACACAGAACACTTTGGGGGCAAGGATTGAAATAGTATAGGTTGTTGTTTTCAAAATCATCTGGCAGACAGTGTTAGTTATAAATTCTAGTAACAAAGCAGGATTATACTAAAAAAATAATGCTATGAAAAAAAAATTAACTTCTCTATCAAACCAGAAAAGAAATATCCTCTGACATGTAAATATATTGCAAGCATTTAAAACAGGTTCTTCCAAGATTCTAATTGACTGGAAGACAATTAACCATAAATTTTACACAAAGGAATTATATTAAATGATTCTCCCAAAGGTAAAGATAAGAGACATTACCTATATTAAAGCCATACCCGAATAAATGGACTGAAAACAGGGAAAAATGCTTCCCAAGGATTACAAAGTATTTTGTTGAAGTATTTTCAAAACGTTAAGAGCTGATCATGTGGTCAGCTCTCCTGTGTGAATGAGAACTGCCTCAACAACAGAGCAAAGGGTCAAAAATACCATCTTACTGTCATCCAACCTCCTTAACCTGTGATTAAATGAAATATAAACTAAAACTAGAATAGCCCAGAGTAATGAGGATAGGGGCCTTGTTTCATGATCTCCTTTCTGGGACTTTTTTGAGGGGAAGATGAGAAGGTTGAAAATGTCCAGGAGGATGTGAATCTTAACTTTGTTTGAAAATTAATGTAAATAAAAGTTCATCCTAAATCTTTATGCATTACTTTTTATACTGCAGAAGCAACAAGAGTTTCATTTAGATATAACTCTATTGTTTCAAACCAGGAGGCTAATGCCTGTACCTATAAACACATAGACTAATCCATTGTGGAAATTGAAGCCCTAAACAACTATTCATATACTCACTCTAAAGCGCTTTCTCCATTGTTTTTCCACTTGACAAAAATTTCTTGAGAGGAAGGGACTTTGCCTTATTCATCTTTTTATTCCAGTGCTCAGCACCTAGTAGATGCTCAATAAACAGGGATTCAACTTATGTGTGTAACTTAGTCCAATCATAAACCAATTAAAATGCTTCTGAAAGAAGGCATTTAAAAAAATGATTTTTATGAAAAATCTTGACATATTTACAAATGGAGGAACTAAGGCTTCATGAGGTCACATAACTCACCCAAGGTCACTCAGCTGACACCCAGGCAGCCTGACTCCAAATCCTGCACTCTTCACTTTTTAGTGAGGATTCTGTTTTGTCCTATTGCACCCCATTAACTGGTTTACTTCCCACATGGCTTTTCAAAGTCTCTGGTCAAACCAATTCAAACACTGTCTACCTGTAGCTCATTGCATCCTAGTAGTCATCCTGCACGTCTGAATAGAGCTAAGTAATTTTGGGGTTTTGTTTTAAAGTCCAGAATTAGGGCATGTCCCCTTACCAAGAACAGGCATGACAGTCACAATACCATTACAGTTTAAGAAAAATAATTTACCCTTCCTCTGGCAGAGATGGCTGCGAAGTCCGACATTCTTTTGGCGTGAATACCACCTCCAAGTTGTCTTCCGTGAAGTCTCCCAGCTCCTGGGCAAGCTCCACATCCAGACTGTTGAGGTGTGTCATCAGAAGTCCTTCAAAGTCCACCGGCTCCACTGGTTCATAAAACTGAGGCTGCAGGGATAGGGAAAAGAAAGAGGAGGTTACCTGAAAGGAGGTTTTCAGGTAAAAGGACTAAGGCGTCACTGGGTGTTTGCCTCGCCCTCCCTTTCCACTCGGTAAGTGCCTCACTCGTAGTGCACAGCTCAGTGCAGCCGTCTTGAGAGGAGCTGTCAAACACAGAGCAGTAATAGGCAAAAGAAACGCAGCAGGAAAGTCGAGTCAGAACACGATGAGCACTTCAAATCATACCCCAAGGCAGAATTTTTCTCTGCTTAATTGTATCTTGATGAGAAATCCTGAGGAGATCCAAAATGAGATCATAAGGCTTTGCTAAATTTTTATAATTTTTCCTGCAAAAGCTCTCTGAGGCCATGTTTACCCAAATACAGTGAAGTAGTGAGTAGAATCAATTTTTGAGAAATTCAGGCAAACTCAACATTTCTTTGACTATTTAGGCATGATGTTTCCCTTGGCCTGAGTTACCTTATATGTTGACTCTTGAAAGCAGTTCTTTCAAAACCACAGCCCACAGTGAACCAGACTTAGTGACTGAGGCACTCCAAGACAGTGATCCCCAGACTCTGCTGACTGGGCTGACTGGGGCTGGTCAGAGAGGTACTTTCTCTGACTGCATTTGAATGAGCAAACTAAGGGCAATTGGCTGAAGTTTCATATGGCTAAAATAAATACTCACTTTAAAAGGATGGAGTTTTGTTTGTTTGTTTGTTTGTATGTTTGTTTGCTCTTCAATTATGTCTTTCCACAATGGAGAGGATAAAAGAAGTGATAGAAGTGAATGGTAATTCAAAAAATAATTTTCTCTAGTTGATAAATTAAAAAGTTGGCAATTTCAACAAATTTTTTTTTCTTGTCTGTGAAGTACAAAGACTTAGGAACCACTGCCTTAAAGGAGTAAAGGAATCACTCAGATTAGTTAATTTGTGTAATAATAATAACACCAGCAGCTCTGTGGTGTTCATTTATGGCAGGCTATTTGGAGTCATCAGCCCAAGGAGGTACTGTTCTCTCCTCTGCTCCCCCGCATCGTAGACCAACAAAACAAACACCTCAGGTTCTTGACTTGTGCTGCCTTGATATGAAACAGGGACAGACCCAAAGGAAGTGCTAATAAAACTGGTTTTCATTGCCCTGAAACTGCGCACCAGACTAGATGTATAAGCTCCAAGCTGGAGAAGATGAACAAAGTACTATTGAAGAGGCAAAAGGAAACAAGATGAGAGAATGTAAATGTGTCTTGTCTTGTCTCTCCCTACCCCTCCTGTCCCTGGGGGTGGGGGAGACATGAGTGACATGTTGGGGAATGAGGAAAAAGCTGAGATTGAGCAAAGAGTAGCCCTCCTTTTTGTCTGATATTCTTGAAGCTGGAGGACAGTGCCAGCAGGGGCAAGAGGGGCAGAAAAGAAGGCAACAGATACAGTTCAGTAGGACAGAGCAAAGACACTCTCCCTAGTGTTCCCTGGCTCCCATGTGGTGTGACAGAAGCCAAGGAAGTTTCCCTTGCTTCTAACTAGAAGGGGCTTTGGAGGTCAGCTAAGGAGAGGACCATAACCTCTCCTCATAGGTTGCCTCTGAAAATGAAGTGACAGGGACCAGAGGGAACAACTGGCACCATCTCTGCACGCAGCAACAAAAAATCTACTGCAGGCCCACCTCAATAGGGAAAGTGAACTTTCTCACTCTTCACCACAACCAAGTACAGAGAGTTCGGAATCAGGAACTGAAATGAAGCTTTTGAAAGGAAGGAAACTGGTTTTTCTGCACATGCAACCTTATTATTGTAAAGTTTATACCCATTGAACTAATAATTATTGAGTACTTATTATGTGTTAAAAAATTGAACTAGGTCATTATATACATTATCCCATTTAATTCTCACTAGAACTTTATAAAGTACAAACTTTTATTAATCCCGTTTTACAGATGAAGACACTGAAGGCTAGAGAGTTAATAATTTGCTCGTGTTTATAGAGCTCGGAAGTAGTCCATCTGGAATTCAAACCTGGGCAGGCTCATGATCTCAACTACTATAATTGTCTTCTCCTGTGGGCTTTTCAAGAAATCTGTATTTCCAGAAATAATTAAAACACAAGGCAATAGTAAATGTGTTTGGAAGTCAGTCAAAAATATACATTCACTACTACCCACAAGTCCACTCTGAGCTTCTCATGAGACTGGCTGTTCTAAATAATAGCAATAAATAAGTAAATTGATACTAAAAGTAAATTTAATATGAAGGATATCAATTACTCAAGCAGAGGCACCAGAAATATATACTTAAAAATTATACTGAAGCACAATTTGAAGCAGTGTGACTCTTGCACTAATAACTAGTAAGCAGAAGCTCCTACAGAGAAATGGCATTTGTGTGAAATCATCAAAGAGAAAAAAAATTCAGTTTCCACCAAAGTATTGTACTTGTCATGGCCCTGAAATTCAAAGCCACATATGATGAAAAACCTGGCTGATAGCAGCTCCCGTTGTCTGTAAGAACCGAGGGGAAAGCGTGGCTGACTCCCTCATTCAGCAATTATTTGCTGAGCTTCTACTGAGCACAAGCCACTGAGTTGGGCAGTAGGGACACCCAAGAGTACAGGAAACTACTCTCATGCATCTTTCCATGGATCTTTAGTCAACAATCATGGGATGGTGAAATGTGTTACATTCTCACACATCAATCACTATCTTAGAAGGGGAAAGCTATGATCAAAAACACAGTATCATCACTGAATACTAATTGTGTGGCAATGAGCCAAGTGCAATATACATAATTGATCATAAAGTCATAAACTCTTGAGGTCTGAATGTTTCAGGACTGAATAGACTATAAACACAAACTGTACTGACAGAATTATTGAGTATGGTTCTAGTGCTACCAGAAGCTGGCATTTAATAGTCTCCTCTACCCTTCTCTAGTGAAACTAACAAAGGAGGAAGCTGTTCATTCTAAATGTGATGTAAACTAGCCCTGCCCTTGGCAAGTGAGTGGAAAGCCCAACTACTGTTAACAAGGTCTACGTGCAAGTCGTTTCTCTGGCAAATTGAAATAACTGGGAACCAAATGAGATTTCTGCTCTCTAAATGATTTGAAGTCTTAATCTCAAGAGTAGGATTTATCATGAGGCAATCAACACATACATACAAATACACACAGTATGCCTATGTAGTGATAAGCAAAGGGAGAAAATAAATATTGGAGAGTGCTACAGTGGTATTACATTTCAGTGGGGACTGAAGTTTGGTAACGGGGTAGGACGGTGTTCTAAGGTCACTCCCTGAGGCAGGATTTCCATTCTTGGGGGCCTACAAGCCAGATATGAAAATTGACTAACTTGTTTTTTCCCCGCTATTGAGCTATCGCCTAGTCAGTGGAGATCCAAGACTAGTTTAAATAGTATAATCCAAAGTAATTTCAAAGTTACCTTCTACCATGAATTATCACATCATGTCTATCATTTGTTAAAATAAGAAAAAACCCAAATAATCACAATAAAATCATCTAAAAATGAAAACATTAAGTACACAAATTATCCTAAATCAGGCTTTATCTACTGTGGTAGCTTTGTGACGTGTCAATTTGGCCAGGCTGAACTACATTCCCAAGAATCCCCTTCCTAGTATGTTTCCAGATGGGGTGAGCTACAAGAATTTTCTCTTGCTAGCGATAGAGGACAGGAGGGAGGCTGCAGCTGTTTTGTAGCACACACATACCTTCTACTGATACAACCAAACATTAATATAGGTACTCCTATGAAGAGATATTACCAAAATAATTAAAGTCCCTAATCAGTTGGCTTTAAGTTAATCAAAAGGGAGATTATCCCGGGTGGTCTATATCAATTGGATACCTTTTCAAAGCAGGTAAAGGCCTTCTGGAGGTTCAGCTCAGGCTCTGGAGTTCCACCTTGCTTTTGATCTTGCCTTCCTGACTGTCCTGGGGACCTGGCCAGTTGCCACTGTGAGTAGGCCAGTTCCTTGTATTCAATTTTTTAACACACACATATGCCTCTCCTATTGGCTCCACTGCTCTGGTTGAACCTGGGCTAATACACCTACTTTCATTAATTCAACAAATACTCATGGGGGTCCTATGGCAGTCCTGCACGAGGCTGAGGGGACACAGTCACTGCCCTGAAGCAATTTTCAACACTTTTCCAGTGCAGGCTTGTGCAGTCTTTCTTTCTAGCTACTTTTTTTTCAGAGGCCTGGTTAACAGAATACTAGAAATGCACAAAAAGATTTTAAACACCCTAAAAGTTTAAATTATTTACAGCTATTTAAGGGAGTTTGAGCTATTCTTTGTCCCCTAACGCACACTGAAGGCTGGTTCTCCAGACATGGGGTAGGATTCAGTTTTATCTGAAACTGAAAATTCCTACATTCACACTCATGGAAGAGCCATAGAAACACCACCTGGTTTCTGGCAGAACCAGACTCTGGGCTCTGGACCTCACCTGCTTTCCTACTAGGGGCTCTGCACTGCCAAGTTCAGGGAAATAATCCAGGACAGACTCAAACACGTGGCTTGCGGTCAGGGGAGCTCACCCACCAACTTCCCTGAAGTCTGACTGGCACCTCCCAGCAGAGATCCAGGGTTCCCACCCTGTTGATTCTGCCAGAAGCCCTTTAAAAAACAGTCAGATCAGTGACTAAACTAAGACTGATAACAGGCTGGCTGGCAGAGGCAGGGGGAAGCAGACCCTGCAGTGACTTGGGATGTTTACTGGTTCTCCCCGTGTTGGTAAAAGCCAGCCTTGAAGAGCAGCATGGCCCATCCCAGGCACAGACAAGCCTGGGGAAGGTAGTCACAAATTGTGGATCATTTGTAGGTTTGACCAGACTGCCGAGGGCTAGACAGGGACAGCATCTGACTTTAGCTTACACCAGCCTCAGACAACTGCAGAGACATATCCAAAGGCAGAACCAGCAAGCAAGCACTAAACTCTGCTGAGATGAATTCCACCTTGTTCTTTTTCATTATTTTCATTATTTTT